CGTACATCTCATTGGACGAGCCTCCAACGGCACAGAGCCTCAATTCTTTTTCTCTTATAACCCCAAACAATTTTCTGGGACTGTTCCACTTTCCTCTCTTTTTCCCTTTTTTCCTCTCCTCGTGAAGCCTCGTCCTCTTCAACGCTGCGTTTCTATGCTACGAACGGAGAGACTCGCGCAAGCGTGTCTTTCACACCTTTTTCCTTCGGGAAAACACTTTCTACCAGGCATATGAGAAATTCGGAGAAATCGCTTCACCTTCAGCCCATAATCATCAGGTCCACCTGGTGTTTGGCTCTGCCGGCAACGGTCTGCGCGTGATCCTCGCGTCTGTAATTGGCATCAGAAAAGCAGGGCGCTGAGCTCCTCTGGTCGCTTGCGATCGGGGAGAGTTTCAGCGTTTCCTCTGGGAGGGCCATTACGAAGCTTGTGAATGAAATCACTTGAGTGCAATACGCAGCGTGCATGCCCGTTACTCCCCTTTCGAGGGGAGGATGGACTGCACAATTCGATTCCGATTACTCTGTTGAGGACGAGGTTTCACCACCCCTTTCATTGCAAACTTGGGCTGCGAGCTCAGGATGCGAGGAAGAACTAGTTTGTTACTTGTCACCCTTCTCCTACGTTGAAGCGATATACACCTTCGTCATCTACTCATAGCGCCCTACAACCAAACAACGAAGGGAATCATGCACAACACCTCGACATCGGCCTGGGTACTACGGGGTCCACTCAAGTCTGCTTCACGAGCTCCGTCGATAGCTTCGTCAACAAAACAACATTGCTGACCCCCCGTTCTGCTTCCATTCACAACTATTACCCCACTCGGAAACTGTCATCCGGAACCCCGTCATGACGTTTGTCTCCCGTAGGCCGTGCTTTCGGGTTGAGAAGCGCCTGTTGGTGTGTCGATGCTGCTTGTCAACCAGCTGTCCTCTGGCTCTTCGAGCTCTAATGGCGGAAGTGGTTCGCAAGCCTGTCGCAAGTCAGTCGCCCGTCTGTTGCTCTTTCGATCAGCTGAACCATATCCCATGTCCTCGTAGAAGATACACGACCCTTTGAGCTGTGCGGACTCAAATCCTGCCGTTTTGTATTTGCTTTCTAACGATGTTGCGGTCGTTGTAATCGTCTGCGCCCTGCGTGCCGAGGGCTTATTTGTCATTCTGGCAGCTTGCAGTTCATCGTATGCTGGTCGCGCCTTTCTTTGAGCACAGCTGCGTGAGGCCAGGTATCTCAGCCCCCGCAATGGTTTTTTGTTCGTAATAAGCGAGTATGGGTGGCCTGCGTTCTGACGGTTGGTGTCAAATTGCTGTGGGCTCACCACTCAGCGGCACAGAGACCCGCGTTATCGTCGTAGCAAAACGCGGTCGATGCCGAAGCGGACGCAAACTTATGCCATTCGTATCTATATTCGGTGTAACGGACAGGAGATGTGCTTGAGGTTTGGAAAACGGGCCCAAAGCCACCGATCATCCTACCTTCCTTTCCTCCTCACCGTCAACAGATGGAGGGTGCCTGAAGTGACCTAAATGGTCAACTCATAAAGCCGATATGGTTTTTATCGTATCTTTCTACCTGAATTCGGCAGCGTATCTGTCCACTATCGTTGTCATGGCCTTTCATGCATGTCGTGGTGTGCTGTGCTGATCTCAGATTGCATGTCATCTTTAACTACGACCATACATACCTCTGACACTCGCTTCATATGAAAGGAGCAGATGTTGAACTTCACTTGTACTTCCCTCCGTCGGTTCTCCTTAACATCCATGAACATCAATTATTCTCTAATCTCCAAATGCGTGTGACATTTCAACAATACGGACGCACAGGCAATGAGTAAACCAACATTATTGACGTGGAACTGAGCATATGGCGGCGAACAATGTTTCATCAAAATCAAGATACAAGCGAAACATCACTGGCCAGCTTTGGTGATGTTGTTTAAGGCCACAAAATCCAAGATCACGCCCCGATGCACCCGCCCTTTGTTCCACCTCCTCCCCCAACAAGTCAAGGAGGTATGGGTATATAACGTCCGAATCATTCCGGTTATAAATCAAGGCTACAGTTTCACAAAGGAACAGCCACCAAGCGCCTGACACCAGGATTTCCAGAGTCAAGGTAGTAAACAGTGACAGACATGTTCAAAATTAAGGATTTCTTTCCAAGAGAAAAAGTACAGAATGGCAGTTCATCCTCGATATGAAAACCGTGTTGGTTCGCTAAATGGCCAATCGAGGAATGTTGGACGCTCACATAGTTGATGTCCAAGGCCATGTTGTTGTGTTGTAGATAGGTCTACGAAGGAGGTAGCTTGCTTCCAAGTAGACGACAAATCCATCTATTCTGCCCGTTATGTGGGCTATTGATGTGAGCCAGAGGCGGTTTTATGTTGAGAAGTGGGCTAGTGCCTTGACACGTTCGACCATGGCCGTGACCCTTGATGCCAACACGGCAAAGGGACGAGTTGGTTGCTGAAATCGTAGGTTGGGTATTGTCTGTATCCCGCCTGCTTGTAATTGAAGCGGTTTATATCTGCAAAGGCCTCCAAGACCACCCAACTGTGCTCGATATTGAGGCGAATATGCGAGAAGGTCGAAGTGTATCGGCGAGGATCTACCGCATCGTGCCCAGGTTCTTCAGTTCCAGTAACTAGTTAAAGCAGCTTTCAAACCGTAACAGACGCATTCTTTCTGCTGTCAGCATCCTCAATCTGAAAGCCAAACACAAGCCTAAAGAGATCTTTTAAAAACCCGTATTGTCCAGATCTCATCGTCATCCAGTTGACACTCTTCGCAATTTCGATGGCGCTGATGCGCTTCCCTCGAGGCGGAAGACTAGCGGAGGATCGGAATGCGGAATCGGTCAGCACCAGATTCTTGTAGTTTTGCAATAACGTGGCATGCATCGGTAACGAGCCGAAAGATCCCATAGGCAAGCTTTTGACAAATGTTTGCAAGGCCGCAGAACCGCCTTTACCGTCCACTGCCGCAGTTTCCCGACTGAAACCGATGTTCATGGCAGCTTTGACTATCAGAACTTTGATGCGGGTGATGTTCATGTCGTCAATGGTGGCAGTAGCAGTGGTGGCGGTGCTAGAAGTGTGTTGACTGCTCTGACTATATCCCGAAAGATTCGAGGCACTGCTCGACCAGCGCCCCCCACGCGAGTCGCTGCGGTCGTTCGATGGCCCGAGTACCATGATGTTAGGCATCTGGGGGCTGGCATCTGGCGAGACTGGTGTGTCTTCAAACTCGGTGACTGGGGTTTCGGGTATAATTGCCTTTTGCCGTGGTCGATCTGTAAGGTCGCTGAGGCTCCGGAGGCTTTCACGTTTCGAGCGGATTGAGGCGCGGCTGCCGGCATTAGATCGGGAATCGGACTGGTGGTTGGATGAGAGGTTTTGTAGCCCATAGCTTCCAGGGGAGAAGAAGTTGATGTGGCTCGGTCGGGGTGTTCCTCGATCAGGTCGGATCTGCGTCCAACCCTCCCGGAAGATATCGCACAACTCCCAGCACGCCTGGACTGCGGATCCTAAAAGCTCTGCATCAGGGGCTTTTCCGTCACGACGGTTTTGCCGAAGGCTAAACAACATCTCCGCCAACGCCCAGCAAGCTCGAAGAAGCAGGTCCGTCTCTTCGGGGGAATCGTTTCGTTGCTTCATGAGTCGGTGACATAATGTGATGTAAAAGTCCAAGGTCCTCTCCCTAAACGCCTCGGGAAGGCTTCGAGTGTCTTGAGCGCTATACAGACTGTGTAACGTGTTAGCAACTGTAATGAGCATGATAAGACAAGATTTCCTTACTGGTTATTTAACTCAAAGCTTACTCTTAATATTGAGTCAGCCACCTCGTCTTGCTTTTGTCGCACATCGAACAATGACTGGCAAAAGTCGCGGCAAAGATCTAGGTTAGTCCGGGCAATGTTGTGAGACTCGGGATAATCATTTCTGCTCTGATAAAGTCTTTTGCAGAGTTTCCAACAGCTCTTCCACGCTTTCTCATGAGCGTCCGGGGTACCAGAGCTGTTGAATACACGTTCACGGTGTATGGAACTGAGGTTCGCAAGAGTATTGCAAAGTGTCCAGCACTCTTCTAGAGCTGCTGAAAGGGCCTGAATCTCCGTCTGTTCGCTCGGTGTGGTTTCGGCAGTGAGGAAATCATCGGCATCTTCGTATCGCTCATCCCCTTCGTGGCTTTCTGGTATGACTGTAAATAATCAGCCGGGTGCTTCTGAGCAAGTGAAATGTGTATACTCACGTTCTAAGCTACTCGCTGTGCTAGATCTTAATCTGGAAGTCTCGTTTGCAAAGACATCTTCCAACTTCTGAGCCTGGGGTGTCGGTGCATCCAAGCCAAATGCTACCGGCTTCACGTTCGTGTTGACAATCGGGAGGGAGCGAGTCGGGGGGGATTGTGCCTAGGTTTTGATTAGCAATATTTCCATTACTAAAGCAGGCATTATGCATACTGCCGAGGCTTCGCTGGCCGGAGGACTAATAGTGCTACTTTCCGCGCTGGCAGCGCTGATAGATCTCGAGAGGCTTGATCTGGAATAACTATCATTGGATTTCTGTCCCCAATTCGAGTCAACATTACATTCTATCCATGTTAATGTGTGCGTGCAAACGTACCCAATTCTCGAAGCTTGGTGGCGCATGTATCACAGAGACAACCTCATCACCCATGGGTTTCCGTATGTGGTCCGGTAGATTCGTCCGTAGCATCATAAGCTTCTTTCGTCAGCATCGGAGATTGGGCTCAATATCACGCCAGGAGGCTGGACTAACCGACTGATGACCATGCTGCCCTTGCCCTTGCCCAGCATGTTCTTCTGCCTCGTCGTCTTCGATCTCTGTGGTCTCGGTACCATTTGATGTCACCGGAGATGGGCCAACAATGTCGCTAGTTGGACTTAGGAGTAGATGTGCCGAGTTGGGTCTGATGTAGGAAGTAGGGCGTAGTGACTGAGAATCGGAGGCCGAGGAGGAGCTGAAGTTGAAAGAGTCAGTTAGTATGACTGGGCTGGAAATCGATAGAGAGGGAGTCGTACGCCATATACTGAGCAGGCAGCGGGGAATCTGGACCCGCCGAGAGTGACATCTCTGTGTATGGGGAGTAGATGGATTGAAAACTTCCAGTCGATGATCTCAAGGGTGCCTCAAGAGCCATTGCTGAGTATGGTCGCAATGGCTAATCCGCACTGCAAGCCAGAGGAGCCCTCAACACAAGGTTCGCGCTGGCCTTCCGAGAACGTCCAACGGGAGCTACCAGAGGAGTCGTGTAGGCCTGTGTGAGCTCCAGTCGTCGTTGACAACACACTCGGTGCGGCCAAAAATCTCGTGAGGATAGACCACACTGTGCAGCTGCGTCCTAAGCGGTGATACAGGATATGCTGTCGCCGTCTATTGGCTGTTGCTATCAGGTCGATGGAATGCGCGGCGGTTCGAGCTGCTCGTGGACAAGAAGGAAGCTCAGCACTTGAAGCTCAAGGTCAAGCTGATATATGTGGTGTGCAAGTTGGTGATGGATATTGATCCCTTGAGGCAGTCTGGAGGCAGGCGTACTTGAAGGGAACAATTGTTTTCAAGCTCTTTCAACCTTGTGCGGCTCAGGAATGGGTCCAAGGACAATCCAGCCACGGGCCGACCAGAAGATGCGACCTTGGAGGCTTGTTTGCAAGTCGGGTACCGGCGATGCTGGCACCGAAGATGGAGGCTCGGTTCGATCTGTTTTTGGAAATAGGTACTCTTTGGGTCTTTCAAGGCGGCCGAGGTGCTGTGCTAGGTTTGCGACTCGCGGATCGCAATCTAAGTTCCAACTGAAGGACTGGGCGACGATGGGCGAAGATGGTGCTTCTGGAAAAGGAAGAAACAACGAAACAAACCACAGAGATGAAACGAATGGTAGAAACAAAGAGCCGACAGAATGGTTGCCAGAGGGAAAAAAAATAAACAAAATCTACGTAATGATAGATCAAGCCGGCCCAGTTCTTTCTCTTCCACTCAGCGCCGAGTCTTGCTGGGTTCCATGTCGTTCAGGTGGGAGAGTAATGGGACGGGCAGCCAGTGAGAAGACTGGACGGAATGGAATAGGTACTCGGCTACTGTACGATCTGGCCGGGGCTTTGGTGCACTTTTGAGGGTTTGTGAGGGGAGAAACGCCGCCTGCGCTTAAGACAAGAAGCTGGATTCGCTGTAACCTCACGGGCAGCCAAGCGGAGAGAGCCGGCAGCCCAAAGAGGTGAAAGAGATGGAGGTTCAGGCTGCTGGCAGCGGGAAGAGTCCCCGCCAGTGGGAGGTTCGGTGCGGGCTTCCACCCTTCCAGGGCAGCGTCCACTCGACTCGAGCACCCAGATCACCTCACACATGGGTCTAACCTCGGATCACACACGGAGCGCCAAGACTATACCAAGACATTTGCCCTATACCGTAAGCAGAACTGAGCCGATACCGGATTCCTTAATAATTATACTAAACCCATCCTCTTATTATTATTGAGTATACCGTACAATGAGAACCTATCCCAGACTGATCCTAAATTAATCTTCAAAATAGTAAATAATTTACTATACTGTGAAATAAGACTATGACTTACTATACTAGGCCGTAATATACAAACGTATCCCGGACTAGTCTGGGACTAGTTACGGATTAGTCCCACACTAGTTCCTAAATTTATTATATTAAAGTTTTAAGAAAATGAGGCCTATATACTATATTTGTATAAATAGTAAATTCTATAAAGTTTCATATATAGTAAAAGTATTAACAAATAAATATTTAGTTTTACTTTTGGTTTTTATTAACTATATATTAATTATAAAATCTCCTAGGTAAGTTTTTTTATTATATTTTAGTTATATTAATTGTAAAATAGTAATTTATTATAAGGATAACTTATATTTTATAGATATAAGAATATTATTTATATAATATATATAGTAAATAGATTAAAAAATACAAATTTGAAGTTAACTAATATAATAAAATTTAAATATATATATTGAAATCTAAAATATATAATCTACTGAATATAATTTAAAGTTTATTATACAAATTAAGATACTATATTATTAAATAAGAAGAAATATAGATTGAAGGTCAATATAATAAATATTTACTATATAAAATATTTAATTTATAGTTTTAATAAAAATATTAAAATAAAAACCTGATTTATATATTAAGTTAGAATATAAAGAAATAATTAATATTATTATACTTTTTAAGATTAATAAGAGTAATATACTAAATTTAATATACTATAAATTATAATGATATATAGAATTGGCTTAATATTTTAATTATTATACTATTAAGTTCCTTATTCTTTTGAATTATAAAAAGCGAAATTCGATATATAAGTTTAATATAAAAAAGTTAAGAAATTTCAGGTTTAAGTACTTTTATATAATATTAAATCTTTACATTATACTTAACAAGAAAAAGAATTATATTTATAAAATATAAAAACTAATTGTATTATATATTTTATTTAAAAAATATATATCGTTTTCGTATTATTAAATATATTAAGTAAGTAAAAAATAACTACGTAGATTATAAGTAAAGAAAAGAATAAATAAATAAGTATAAATTCTAGGATAAGAAACAGAACTCACTTAAATAAGATATTCAAAATAATTATAAATAAATCTAAGACTAGTTTATAGTTAAAAGCGTTATAGTATTAATAATAATATATATAAATTAATAAAGATTAATATTGGATGAATTTAATTTTAGACAAGTAAATTAGAATTTATATAAAAAGGTTATATTATATTAGAAACTTCGTACTTAGGGAGAATTAAAAGGAATTATATATTATTAGAATATAAAGAATATTAATAAATTAAAATTGAGAGACTTAATTTAAATTTTTATAAGAGATTTGATAAGTAATATTAAGTTTATATATATTAAGTCAATTTGGGTTTATAAAATAATAATAATTAAACTCGTATATATATTTACAAATAAGTTGGAAGTATAAATATTATTATATTTATTTATTACATTCGACTGTAGAATAAAAAAAACTTTGTAGATTATAATATTATTTAATTATAAAGAATTATTAATAGAAGTATTATAGTAAACTAACTATATTAATATATAAAAGTAAAACAAAAGGTTTAATTTTAATTAACTAATAAAATACAATCTTTTAAAAGAATGAAAAGTCTTTTATAATTAATAAATTGATAGTAGTATAAGAAGAGATTTCTATATTTTGAATAAGTAATATAAATAGGATAGAAATATATAATATAACATAAATATATTGAAAGTTAATAATTTATATATTATAAAATATAATTATTTAAATAGTATAAATGAAAATAATTAGTATATAATATATACAGAAGACATATAATAAATATAATATAGAAAAGCAAGTAACTAATTAAGCTAAATCTTTGTAGATTAATCTTTAATTAATCCTCTATTAATCCTTTAATTTATTTTAAAATGGATTGCAAAAAAAAACTTTATTTTTATTATTATTATATTTATATACTTTATTAAAAGTCAAATAACGTACTATATAATAGGTGACGTAATTCAAATTACTCTCACCGCTTTTACTTATATAATCTAATTTTTTTTACTACTTTTAGTAGAATCTACCTTATATAAATCTCTATTTCTAATTCTAAACTTCCTCCTTCTTTCTTCTTTTAACTAACTTTAAATCTATTAGTAGTACGTATGAGATATTTATCAGATTCTTTTCAGATTTTTTTTGGAAATTTTTATAATTTTAAAAAATTTTTTTTTTTTTTTATATACTGATTCTTAACTACAGGACCAATTCTCAACCAATTTAAAATTAAACTACGACACATTCCGAACTAATCTACAAAATAACTAATAATTACTCTAAAGAACAATTATACTTAGACTATAAAACCTTAGTAAATCGCCCGGCTAATTTACTCCCCTTCCTATTTAATAAAGTAAATTTAATTTTATAATAATTTATAATTTATTTAGGATTAATCCTCAACCTATTTAGAATAGCGAAATTTAATTTATAGTTAGCGAAGTCTTTTACTACTTCGCTAAGCCCGGTAGTACTATATACTCTAATAAAGTACGTAGGACTAATTCCCAATTAATTTTAAATTAGTTCTAAATTAGTATATTACTAATTCAGTTTTATTTTTAGTATAATTAGAGTAATATTTCAAATTTAAAAAAATATATAATAAAGTATATAATAGCTAGAGGTACTAAAGTTATTATTAAGGCTAGTAGTATTAGCGGCCTTAATTTAAAGGAGAATAAGAGTTTGAAGAGTATATAATTAATTATAGATTAATTTTTAATTAGTTTGAAACTAATTCCCTATAGTTTTCTATTGTAATTTTATAGCGAGAATTTCCCGTACGGACAATGATAATTCTAAAACTAGTTTTAGATTGGTCTTATCCCTACCTTTCCGTCCGAAGAAGGGTAAAGAATTTATTAAAAAGCGTTTAGCTATTAATAAAAATAATAATAAGGGTAAAGAGGAGGAGGATAATAAAGAGGAGGATATTATATTTCCTTCCCTGGCTAAAAAGGTTAAAATTACTTAGCCGGCCGTACTTTATACTAATAAATATATTATAAATTTTAAACTAACTTTAAATTAATTTTTAATTAATCCCGGATTTATTACTAATTAATTTCGTTTAACCTTCGTACATATAAATAAAGCGCACTTTTATTTAAATTTAATTTAATAAGCCTTTAAACGCCGAAATAAAAGTTTAGAAATATATTAGTTATACTTATATAAATACTAATAAATATAAATAAAATTAGTTTTAGACCTATCCTTAACCTATTTATAATTAATATAAAATTAATTTAAACCCGCTTCCCGAACGCCTAATTGAAAACGAAGATAAGGGTAAGGAATTATATTCGGTTTAGGATTTTTTTACCTTCAATACAAATAAGAAAGACCGCCTTACTAGTATTCTAACAGCTAAAGCCGATATTATAGAGGTTGAGGATTAAATACGTTCGGGATTTATTTTGGATTAATCTTGGGTATTTAGGTTATATATAGCCAATTTATAATAAACTATACCTAGATTAATAATAATTATTATAAGTAATAGTTCTAGACTAAAGGGTTATATCTAATTATAATTTCTAACATGTATTAATAATGAAATTTTAATATTAAAAATTGTTTTCTAAATAATTTTGAAAATATGGAATAAAGGGAAAACTATTATATAAAATATAAAAATAGGTATATAAAGATAATTTAATTTTTAAAAAATATATTATAATTTAAAATTAAATACGTTATAATAAACGGTAGTAATAAATATTATATATTTATAATTAAATTACTAATATAAAAGAATATATTTGAAAACTAAATAATCTTTAAGTAATTACTTAAAGTATATTATATTTATAGCTTCTAAACGTATAACCCCTTAATTATTAAACTTATATATAATAATAAATATTTATTATATATAAAATTGTAGATATCGTTATCATATCTATTTAATTAGTATTTATATAAATTTAATTTAAGTAAATTCTTTTATAAAAATATATACTAAATTAATTTAAGATCAATTTGTGATAAATTTATAGTATAAATATAGTATTTAATGTATATAGGGATTTAAATACTTATTCCAATTATATAAAGGTAATTTTCCACAATTAAATAATTTCTTATATTTCTATTATTTATATTATAAATATATTAAAGTTTAGAAATATTATATAGTATAAGTATTTATATAAATCAAAATTAAACTTC